TGAGATGTATTATCACCAAACCCTTGCTCCCCAACCGCATCGAACATCAAAGGTGCCTTCCTCTTGGCACATGTCTCCTTTTCGCCCTCCACTCGTGCCTCTTCGAATTCTGCAGCACTGCTGGTCACAGCTTACCTCCAGTTAGAGCACTGAAGGGAATTACATATACCACTGGATATAATTTTAGCAATGGGTTGTTGTAGGTTTTTCTGGGCTATATGGCCATGTTCTAGAGGCATTTTCTCCTGACGTTTTGCCTGCATCTATGGCAAGCATCCTCAGAGGTAGTGAGGTCTGTTGGAAGTAGGAAAATGGGTTTATATATCTGTGGAATGACTAGGGTGGGACAAAGGACTTTTGTCTGCTGGAGCTAGGTGTGAATGTTTCAACTGAACCTCAACCCAGAACCTCAATCAATGGCTGATACCAAATGAGAGACTCCCCAAGAGCCTACCTCAAACGGACACCCCCCTTACCCCGTACTATACATACGACACAACAATAATAGGGACAAAGGACTTTTGTCTGCTGGAGCTAGGTGTGAATGTTTCAACTGATCACCTTGATTAGCATTTAATGGCTTGGAAGTGCCTGGGGGAATGTTTTGTTGAGAGGTGATTTGATGTGCCTGATTGTTTACTCTCTGTTGTTTTGCTGTTGTAATCTTTGAATCTTTTAATACTGGTAGCCAGATTTTGTTCATTTTCATGGTTTCCTCCTTTGTATTGAAATTGTCCACATGCTTGTGGATTTCAATGGCTTCCCTGTGTAGCCTGACATGGTGGTTGTGAGAGTGGTCCAGCATTTCTGTGTTCTCATATAATATGCTGTGTCCAGGCTGGTTCATCAGGTGCTCTGCTATGGCTGACTTCTCTGGTTGAAGTAGTCTGCAGTGCCTTTCCAATTCCTTGATTTCCTGGTCCAAAGATTCCCCCAGGCACTGCCAGGCCATCAAATGCTAATCAAGGTGGTCAGTTGAAACATTCACACCTAGCTCCAACAGACAAGAGTCCTTTGTCCCACCCTGGTCATTCCACAGATATATAAACCCATTTTCCTACTTCCAACAGACCTCACTACCTCTGAGGATGCTTGCCATAGATGCAGGCGAAACGTCAGGAGAAATGCCTCTAGAACATGGCCATATAGCCCCAAAAAACCTACAACAACCCAGCTGGCTTTCTGCTGCTCCAAGAACAGGGCCCCAATTTAGGGATTTAAATGACAAGAAAGGGGACTCTGCCAAATTTTAGGCAGAACGTCTTAAAGGGTTGTGTTTGAAATCAGGTATTTGCCCACAAAGGCTGACCAGGGGAAAGACAGTCCAGTCCCACAGTGATGCCCGTGTCCAGAGAAGCAAAAGCATTCTCCGAAACAGTCCCAAGTCAAATAAAGATAAATAAGTCAAGCCAAACCCTACATGAAGCCAAAGGAATCACACGTCTTTATTGGGAAATGTTGAATGTATAGCGGACAGCACCAGAATGTCCAGATCCCACCATTTCCCTGTTGCAACACATTTTATCTCTCCTGCATGAACCCCCATAAAAACATTTCCCACATGCCTGGCATTTGTTTGTTTTTTAACCTGTGTGCATTTTGTGGTACTTCCTAAAGGATGAAGTGTGAGTAAAACATTTTCGACAATCTGGTCATCTGTATGGTTTTCCTTCTGTGTGAATTCTCTGGTGGCTTACAAGAGATGAATTCTGAGTAAAACATTGTCCACAATCCTGGCATTTGTACTGTTTATTTCATGTAAGGATGCTCTGGTGTTTCACATAACTTCCAAGGAAAACACGGCTTCTCTTCTGTGTGGACTCTTTTGTGCTTCACCAAGTCTGAACTCACAGTAAAACATTTCCCACACTCCTGGCATTGGTATGGCTTCTCTCCTGTGTGGTATCTTTTGTGGCTCACCAAGGCTGAATTGTCAGCAAAACATTTCCCACACTCCTGGCACTGGTATGGCTTTTTCTGTGTGTAGAGTTTTTTGTGCCTTGCCAATTGTGAACTGTCAGCAAAACATTTTCCACACTTCTGGCATTAGTATGGCTTCTCTCCTATGTGCAGTTTTTTGTGTCTCACCAAGGCCGAACTGTAAGCAAAACATTTCCCACACTCCTGGCATTGGTATGGCTTCTCTCCTGTGTGAAGTCTTTTGTGGCTCAACAAATTGGAACTGCGGTCAAAACATTTCCCACACTCTAGGCACTGGTATGGCTTCTCTCCTGTGTGAAGCCTTTTGTGCTTCACCAAGTCTGAACTGCGAGCAAAATATTTCCCACACTCCTGGCATTTGTATGGCTTCTCTCCTGTGTGGACTTTTTTGTGGCTCACCAAGTTTGCACTGTCAGCAAAACATTTCCCACACTCCTGGCATTGGTATGGCTTCTCTCCTGTGTGGAGTCTTCTGTGGTTCACCAAGTGTGAACTGCAACTAAAACATTTCCCACACTCCTGGCATTGGTATGGCTTCTCTCCTGTGTGGACTCTTTTGTGGCTCACCAAGGCTGAATTGTCAGCACAACACTTCCCACACTCCTGGCATTGGTATTCCTTTTTTTGTGTGTAGAGTTTTTTGTGCTTCTGCAAGTGTGAATTCTGAGTAAAACATTTCCCACACTCCTGGCATTGGTATGGCTTCTCTCCTGTATGGAGTCTTTTGTGCCTCACCAAGTCTGAACTGTAAGCAAAACATTTCCCACACTCCTGGCATTGATATGGCTTCTCTCCTGTGTGAAGTCTTTTGTGGTTCAACAAATTGGAACTGCGAGCAAAACATTTCCCACACTCGTCGCATTGGTACGGCTTCTCTTCTTTGTGGAGTCTTTTGTGGCTCACCAAGGCTGAACTCTGGATAAAAGATTTCCTGCAGTCCTGGATTACGAAATCCTCAGTTCCTTCAAAGATTTCATCTTGGCTCAGATCTGGCAATTTGTAATCAGCAATACATTTTGCTGATACTTTCCATTTACAATGGCTTTTTCCAGCACTGAGTGTCTTGTGAAGTATAAGTCCCGTATTTTGGGTAAAACACTGACCACATATATTGCATTTGTAGGGACTTTCTCTGGCAGAACCTCCATCTTCTCTGTGGTTTTGCTGGTGTCTAGGAAGGCCTCCATTCTGTCCCAAATGCTTCCTGTGTTTGTTGTTCCAGTTATCTGCTGTGAAGAAGGAGGACAGAAACAATCATTCTTTAATGTGAGCGATAAGGACTCTAGGGAAATGGTATAAGAAATTGAAATGATCCTTTATACAACATAGATATGGAAGAGAAGAAGATACAACTGCTGTCCTCTCCCCATCCATTATTCAGTAAAGATGGACACTGTTTAACTGCCTGGAGCCTCTAAGGGAGAGGTGAGTAACATCTGCTCCAGAGGCTAACTGTTCCTCAGCCCAGCCTGGCTTTTTATTATCTCCTTTCTGGGGGAATGGATGACTTTTCCCTTCACATTCAAATGCTTGGAAACACCATTCTGTGGACTGTCCCTGTGTTGAGTCAGTTGCTCTGGTTACAATACCTGTATAATTCTGCCCGGCTCTTACAGGGGAGCTGCAACTTCTTCACATATGAGGGCTATTTAATTGCTTAATTGCTGCAATATGCCTCTCCCAGTGAACAAAAAATCCCGAGCCCCAAACATTCACAAGCACAGAACATAAAACGCAATATATTGCAGGTCACCATCTTACGAATGACTGAGACTAGGGGACGTTCGTGTGCTGGGAGAGGCAGCGTTGGATTTTTCTGCTCCATTGTATAAGGTCCTATAACTAATTTCCTAGCGCTGCAGAGATTGTTACGGTTTTGTATTACTGAAAAGATACAAGATAGTGACTGTAAAGAAAAAGGGGAGAACAATGATGAAGGCAGAGAAGGGAACAAAAAAAGAACGTCTGCAGAACTAAACCAGATATAGTGACCTCCACCTAACACCACACTGGAGAGAGTGGATATTGCCTCCTAACCATCCCGGTTTGTGAGGAGTGAGAAGACTCTGCACCAGAGGGAAGAGCTGTTGGTAATCCAAATGCCGCAATTACAGAGACTTCTTGGAAATGCCATTCTGTGGACTGTCCCTTTGTTCAGGCAACTGCTCTGGTTCCAATACCTGTCTAATTCTGCCCGGCTTTTACAGGGGAGCTGCAGCTTCTTCACATATGAGAATTTAGGGAAGTGGCAGGGGATATATGAACTATTTCCTAAGCTTTAGGGTGGAATAAATATGCAAAAAATGGACTCAGTTTGATTTCTGCAATTGTGAGTCTACCATGAATGACACTCTCGCCACTKGAAAGAGAGGGGCATASAGTTGGATTACTGCTGTATGTCTCACCCAGTGCACAATAAAATCCCGAGCCCCAATTATTCACAAGAACAGTGACTRRGATGATTTCGGAAAT